GAACTTGTGTTGTCAATTTCACCGGTGTCGTCTGGAAATAGCTCCTGTGGAAAAGGCTTTGTCCGCTGTCCTGGCTGGTTGAAGTGTTGTCGGTTCGCCGTCTATCAATTCGACGGCTGGCACGTACGGACGGACGCCGTGAGGTCAATGATCCCGTCTCCGATGTGTTGGGTGCCTGTTCCGTCTCACGTTGGTTTCGTACTGTTATCAGTTCCTCTTGCTTGAAATACCCTTTTAATCCTCTTCTTGCGAGTTCCTAAAGGCGGTAACGTTGGCGAAATGTGAGATAGTTAGAGACGCCAAATCCACCCTCCTTCATTACAGGCCTGGCTTTTAAAGTCTCGACTTTATCACCAGACCGATAGTTCACGGATTGCCACGCTGGATCCCAAGACGTGAGCACGGATAACGTCAGATTTCTCTATCGTCTTAGCCTTTATGCTGTCATCGAGAAGTAAAATCTATCGAGTCATCGTCGACATCAGACATCTTGTTCTGTATGCTGTCGACCGTATCCTTGTCGTCATGCTGTTTGTCTGCTGGAGAGCGTTCAAGTCCGACTGAGTAGAGGCTAGTTGACTTTCGATCTGTCCACACTTGGCTGATAGTGTCTGGACGTCCGACTTGACTGAACCAACTTGACTACTAAGATCTGATTTGACAGTACAAAGCTCAGATGTGACGGCGTAAATCTCTTCGAGGATAGTGCTTTGAACCTCTTCACGAGTAGGTGGGCCCGGGTAAGCTTCTATATCGCCAGAGCAAAGTAGCTACCCTGATACAACACCTGCTGGAATACAGGGTGTCCCACGAGCCAACATAAACCTGGTGCACCGGAAAAGTGCCCCGTCGTCGACACCGCGCTTTCTATGCGCCAGCAAAGTGCATGCGTCCTGATGTAACGGCAAATTCAAAGTTAACATGATTCACTTCCTGAGACACTTCCCTTCATATACGAGTATATATTTTAGATTGTGCAAAAATCTATCTACTTGTTTAACAAAGTAAAGGCCAACGAAGGGTAAACATTTGTTGTCTGCCATTGTGCTCAGCCAAACATCCATATCCCCTCGATGATTCCAACCCAAAAAGTATATAAATATTTGAAGCCAAGTGGTTTTAGAAGCGAATAGTGTTTCAGTTTTCTTGACACTACGATTCATGTACATTATGGCAGGGTTGTTAGTGGTTTGTTCCGAATAAGAACTGTTGAACAGCCCGTAGCTCTGTGTAGGGCGACAAGTCAAATTCAAAATCGTTAAAAGGCAGATAAGGTTACCTCAGGCTCGGGGTTAAATTACAACACGATTTGTCATCCAGGAAGATCACAACACAAGTTAATCATATTAACATTTCAGTTAAGATAAAGTGCCACTCATATGTATAGGTCGCTATATGGCTGAAACAATGCCGATGCGAGGTTAATGTTTATCTCACTTACTCATATATATATAGCTGATTTTGTTTGTTTGCGATCCCGTTAGTCGCCTCTTACGACAAACGTAACCTAACTTGAACTTCACTGGTCCGGTCCTGCCGTGATGTCGCACTGATGCCTCTCATTACCAGTGTCAGACTGTTTAATGTCAATGTTAACGGTACGATGGAAGCTGACACTTGCAACAGGAGCTTCTAAAGATGTTGATACGCTGCAATGAATAATATGCTTAAGCAGTAAAAATATGTAACGAAATATACCCTCATATAATAAGTCATTTTACCTACCCCGAGAAGCAGATAGTATAATTTAGTGAAGAGAATTCAGACTGAAAACGCTTCATCAATATATAAGGGGGAAAGTTTACAGTTATAACCATTATAAGTAACTTGAATGAGTTGAATATGAATAAGGATAAAGTTAGTGGACAGCAGTTCAGCCATTTACAATGAAATAAGCATGTTGGATGTTTCATTAATTAAGCTGTAGGTTGACCCATTGACGAACATGTTAATATCTATAGTAATGATCGTACAGTCATCCATGGTCAGTATCAGTGTCTTTTTGTTGAGGAATATGTAACGAACTGTGTAGAGAAGTATGAACAACTGTTCAATTTGAAAAATACATCATAAAACTATGCAATGTGTGAAATAATTCACAAATACATGGCCCAGCCACAACACATAACGCGACATCCTCCCGTCCAGCGAGTGTGCTGAAACTGTGGCCAGTGACTGAAGCGGACGTAGAAGTTACCTGTTCACACTGTGTCTGTCGAACACACAAGTGTAAAAAATGTCGTCAAACAACAGCTTTTTCCAACTAATTGTTTACAAAATTGTACAAGAAGAGTTTAGAATAGTAACAATGATAGTTTCATCGTGAAATAATGAAGATACCTATGCGTTTTCCGGCAGCAATTTATAAGTGTCTATTTCTGACTACTGACAGCAGACCAGCTTAACTAACAGTTTCTGACAAAATGTTTTATGCAGATTTTATTTCATTGTCAATCCATACAAAAATGCATGAAAAACATTTTAAATACCCATACAAGTATTTTTACAGCGAAACTATTCGTATTTTAGCCACACTAATTATGAACAGATATGAAAATGGCAGCCGATCGTTCAGTGCGGTGCTTTGTAAACATTGAAACGAGGTTCACAATAAAATGTCTAATTTGTTATCTGAAGTCAGGAAATTTGGTAAACTGTAAACAAAATGTATATTTCCAGGTCCTAAACTACAACTGGACGCTGCTCGAGCCAACACAGGCTGGTGCCACGTAACTACAGACGGTGAGCTGGTCAACTCGCCGTCCGCCACACGACACAGAGACAGCGGCAGGTTACGGAGACACAGAGACAGTGGCAGGTTACAGACATACCGCGGCACCTGTAGTTCCACCCCCATCCCCCTTCCTCCACCCCCCTCTAATGTCACCCCTGCCCACCCCACACCACGATACTGGGAGACCCACTCCAGGGTGGGTGTGGAGGGTGGATGGTTGGGGTGGCCTGTCCTGGAGATGGGTGTGGGGGAGGAGAGCCAGGTGGACAGTGACTGTTATGTTTGTCTACAGCGCCGCTCCTGGTGTGTCCGTGTATGGAGCTGTGGCACACACCGGGGGAGTCTCTGTACCAGGGTGTATCAGCAGGGGGAGCGGGGGGAGTGTTACACAAACACAATGTCTGACACACCCGGCACACAGGCCACCCTCCACTATGGCGTTGTGCTGGATGTGGGGAGGGGGAGACTCGCCTTCATCGATCTTGACAGGGAGATTGTTTTGGCCAAGTTGGATGTTGAGTGGAGGGAGTCTCTTCTCCCCATGTTTGTTGTTGGGCGGCCAGATTACTACACAGTCAACATGAAGGTGGTCAGCGGGGTGGACATCACCATGACTGACTCCAAGAAGTCACTTATTTATAACGCCCTCACATAGGAAATAAAATAAACATGACATTGTGTAAACTTGTAAGTGTGACATATTTATTTAAACTGTCAAATGTAATGTGATTGTATTGATTGAGGCGGACATAGAAGTTACCTGTCTATGTGTTGTTTGTTGTGTACAAGAATGTAACAAGGTTAGCTAAATGTGTTGTTTTTCTACTTGACTGGTTTCTGTTGTGTATTAGAAACATTTTGCATCCTCACATTAGTATTGTTATGACTATTAATCTGCGGTAATCTATCAGTTTATCACACATTTCCTACATTTCTGGGAAATGGCACAACACACAACTGAGTGCACAAAATCATCAAAAGTTGTTACAAATCATGAATTTGTTGACATGTTTCGTTTCTTCTCTGTAATATAATTGTTTCAAATCCCATCATGAATAGTGTTGTGCTGAAAGTATTGCAGTTGTGCCACCACATTGCCACATTTGATGTCGGTGAAGAAATGGGATGAAAGTGATTGAAGCGGACATAGAATGTACTGGTGTACATGTGACGTGTGTACAGAAATGTTACAAAGTTCACTGAATATTTTGTTTCTCTATTCTCATTTGTCGTGCTGTGAGGACAAAACATTTAGAATACCCACAGAAGTGATTGTTTAATTATCTGTGCTGATAATTTCAAATATTGTGTCGACATGAACATGCCAACACCACTCTCAGTGTGAGCACAGAAATACGAATCAAGTTCGCAGAATGTTTTATTTTTTAATTTGCTGCTATTTTGCTGTCAATAACAAGTATTTCGAATCCACACATGACTAGTTAAATTAAATAACTGAATTTCCTCTGCAATGTCACAACAAATTCATTATTCACATTCACTTGATAAGGGCATTCACTTAATAAGGGCATTCACTTGATAAGGGCATTCACTTAATAAGGGCATTCACTTGATAAGGGCATTCACTTAATAAGGGCATTCACTTAATAAGGGCACTCACTTAATGGGGGCACTATCTTAATAAGGGAACTCACTTAATAGGGGCACTCACTTAGATTAGTTATGTTTAAGCTTCAGCTGCAGAACTAGTGTGTTTTTTAAAGCTATGAGCCTGATTTTTTTAAAAGAATAATGCTTTGCAACAATGTTATTTTTGTTGCAGACAATTCCCTTTTTTCAACAGTCTTAAGCATAGTTATTTTTTTTTTCAAGAATTTTTAGAGACCCCTCCCTAAGCATCTGTACATTGGATTTCACAGGTATGTACTGACAAAGAGAACGAAGATAGTAGACTTTGTCAGTCTCGTAAATTAGCGGGTAGCGGGATTTTGCCACTGTTCAGTTGCAGCATGGGGGTCTCGGGTAGAATTTTATATGCATTGTGTGTGAGAGGTGTTCTGGCAACGATGTCAGGGCGCCTTTCACTTCTTACTTTCATAAATAATATCTGTACAAAAACGGAAGGATAGATAGCAGTAAACACACTGTATGAAAACATTTTTAGTAAGGATAAGATTTATGGAACAATAACCTCTTTATTACAAGTAGGAGACACGTCAAGCAAGTGATTAAACAAACGCAGCTTTTGTCTTTATAGTAAACCACAGCAGGTGCTGATGTCGTAATAAAATACAACACATGCTTATATGAATTATAGTTTATTGATTATGACAGATACAGCCATGCCTAGCATAACATACAACCAATCTGTGTCAAGTATTTATAAGACCTCTAGCACTGTATGCTTAGTCTGCTATATAATATCAAAGATTAATGACACAATTATGCTGATATAAAAACCATGCCTACGGAACAGTCAATAATAAAGCAAATTATCACCAATATACGATATCAGACTTGAAAGAAAAGTGTGTATCACAAGAGAATTGATTTCATTATATTTTGAAGCAACTGAATCATCCTCTAAATTATGAAAAATATTTGATATTGTAGCAGTAGTGACAAATGCCTATGTTATGTACAAAAGAGATCTCATTTACATCTATGCTTAGACTAGTCATCCAGAGCTTTAACATTGTACAAGAAATAAATCTGTTACAAATAAATACTTTTGGCTACTATATCTGTTTTATTCTACAGTCACTCATCCACAATGTACAATTCTTGAATACATGATTGTAATATATGCAAATTACAGGTTAATTATGACTATGCATCATTATCATTGATGTTACACCCGGTGGTCTCAGCCGTCATAGCAACATATTGTCACCTTTGGTTACCAACAGACATATGATACTCTATTTGCTCAATGATCGTGTATTAAGTCTGTATCAATATCGCCTCAGCACAGAACGCCAAATCGCTTATTTCTAATAAATTGTGTATTAAGTCTGTATCAATATTGCCTCAGCACATAAGGCCAACTTGCTTCTATCTAACAAATTCTGATCAATTTCAACACTAAACTACAGAGTATTTCATGATCACTTCTCTATAGTCTGCACGGTATTTTGCTGTATGAGGGACAAATTTCTAATGGAAATGTTCTTGCAGCCAAATGACATGATGAATGATAGAAAACGTGGACAAAGAATAGAAAATTAAGAAATAATGAATGTATAAAAAGATATTGAAGCCTTCCCTTTCACCCAGTAATGGGAATGAGTACAGATTATAATCTCATCATTGAAGTGTGGTGTATGAAATATCACATGCTTGATATCAGCAACAATGAGTCATTTAAGTACATGCAAAACATGACGATGTTGCCAGCACTGAAGATAAACAATGGAAATAGAAAAATACACTATACCACAGTCATTTGCAGTTCATAAACGGACACATATATACATTACATTTGATCATTATTCACAACATATTGAACAAGGAACAAACGAGATGTAGAACAATATGTTGAATTATAAAAATACAAATATGAAATATTTTTGTCATGGAAATGATAAATTCAGATCTAGATACCATGGTAACGAACATTTGTTCATACATTTCCCTGGAGGATTATTTCAATCTGAAAATATACATTGCATAGTCTAATGAAGATGTGGTTCCATAATTTTCATTTCATAAATGTTTTCAAAAATTTTGATTTGAAAAACAAATATAACGTAAATCATAATTAAATTTGTTATCTATGCTGATATTAATTTGTTTCTTTTGATCAGAAATCATTTTAAATTATATAGAATTTTTTTAAAAGTTTTTTAAAACTCCTCCCTCCACTGACTGTAACTGCGTGAGCTGGGTAGTGTGTTGCTTGAGTAGGACTGTTCTTGCAAGACTTGTTCCAGCTCTAGCTGAGTGTCCACAATGTGCACTTGGAACGGACTGCCCGGCACATCCACGTTTGACCACTTCACATGGATGATATACAGCCCAGTCTCCGTTGGATCAAAGCGACAGAGAATCGTCCTATCCTTTTGGCTATCTCTGTACATTTCCACTTGGAACGCCCCTGGAAAATGAAATACAGTGCATAAAACAGTTGCCTGTTTTATTAGTATTTCACCTGCATCACGGCATGACACCTATATGTAGGAGGAATGCTGTAAGTAATGTAGATTTTAAGATTTTCATTTGGTGCCTACCACGATTACTGATTGACTGACTGAGTATGGTTTTACGCCGCTTTTAGCAATATTCCAGCCATATCACGGCAGGGGACACCAGAAATGGGCTTCACACATTGTACCCATGTCGGGTATCGAACCCGGGTCTTCGGCGTGAGGAGCAAACGCTTTAACCACTAGGCTGCCCGACCGCCCCCACCCACGATTAAGGGTGTGATGCTGACAAGCAAACAATCGTATTTAGTAGGAATCTGGGAGTGGAACCTGTATCATAGATTCTGGCATGCCTAAGGTACTCAACTTGGCAACTACATTTGACAGTGGACGAAGCTGACTACAAGTATGCATGCTTCTTTCACCTATTGTTCTTTTCATCAGGAGTATATAAATCAAAACTTTTATTGTATCTCTAGAGTTAATGTCTTCGTGGTCAGTTGCTCACTAAAATGTTGACTGACTGAAATGATGAAACAGTTCATATTCACTGTATCTCGATAATTTAATATACAAATCACTAATGTCCCCATAAGATTTTTTTCAGGAAATGTCTCAAGCACAAGGAACAATGCTGTATGCTTGTTTTTAAAATCTGAACAAAAATATACAGTCAGTTTTCAAACAATATCTTTTGAAAATTGATAAGGGTAAAGCAATAAAATTGAGATAAAGTTTGGTGAGACGAAGTGTCCATACCTTTAGGTCCTCTGATCCTGACCATGAGCTGTCCGGCACCAGCGCCGCGGGTCTCCACAATAAAGCGGGACTGGAAGGTTGCTAGGATACCATGCTCCACGCCGGGCCCACTCACGCGCACTTTGCTGGCATCTGGTTGTGCAGATACTCGGAAAACAAAGGGGCTTCCTGACAACAAATCAGTAATACAAACATCACACATTCAAAACTATCTTGTTTATAAATACTTGGATTTACAAAGGATTGACACTTTGACCTAGTTCCTATATTTGCACACTGGATCATTAAAGTCTCCTTAAGAACCCAGCATCCTCAAATATGATTCCAATCATCATACAATTAATGTCTGGGGAAAGTGTTTCTTGAAATAAATCTTCAACAGTAAGTGAAAGTTACAAAACACAAACAACCCGACTGCCACTCCTCGCCAGAAAGTGTACACACCTAGAACATGCTCGCCGCCATATTTGACCTGCAGAACATGTCTTCCTGGTTCCTGAGCCTTGACTAAGAGACGGAAGGTGCCATCCCTGTTGTCCTCGAGGTCACAGTAGGCCACCTTGTTGGGACCACTGCAGAATGCTGTTAGCTCACCTGGATACATGAAGAGCATCATATGAAGTGAGTAGTGATATAATACGGATTGCAGGACATGGGAGTTTTTCTGATGTCCTAGATCTAGAGGTTATTTTTCTTTAAAATCAAACAAGATATCTCCTTGTAAGCCAGATGATGAGCTAACCCCAAAATATGAATCTTGAGTCACTCAGCTGGTCTCATAAGATTATCAAGAAATCTGGAATACGACTCAAAGCTGAAACCATTCTTTACCTGGCCCTGCTTTCCTTGTGTCAATTCTGATGTCAAGGTCACGACCCAAAAGACCTCCCTTTAAACCTTCACCGCTCACAGCAACCTTGTTTGGGTAGAAAGCACCAATGACGTTGACCTTGAATGGAGCCCCCTTGACCTGTCGGCCATTCCAGGTGATGTGGAGGAGATACGCTCCAGGGATGACAGGAATGTAAGTACATCTGTACTTGCCGCCGCCAAGTGGCGACGTGATGACGTTGACCTCTGCCCTTACTCCTGTAAGCTGCACCTGGGGCTCACCTGCATATAAATAACATCTTCCAATATCTAGATACACTCCTTACAATTTCAACACAGCTGATATTCATTACACAATAAAGCATGGAAAGTAAACCCACTAATAACACCCATTGCTAAATTCACAAATAAAATCATTCAGTGATTCAAGGAAAACAATACTTGAAAACATGAATTCCTTGCAAAACATATGATAATAAACTAAAAAATATTTCAGTTAAAAAGGATCAGAACATCATCTTCAAGGGGATCAAACTCCGCTCTAGGTCATAAGATTGTCACAAGTGACGAGTGCCAAATGTTGTCTCCGTGTAGATAGGCTTATTAGTAATGGCCAGATTACTACACAATTGATCTTGAGCTTTAGCCCGGCATTGTTTCAGTTATTTATTAAGGTATATATGCTCATATCTTCATGAGGTACATTATAAGTTGAAGCCTCCGGCTGATGGTACAAAACTGGATACAGGACACATAAAACCACATATACACCTCCTGATACTGCTATAACGGATTTATCCTGCCGACATGGTTCAATCTGCCATTGCTAAATATAGAAGCCAGCTGTTCGATTGATCTGAGTAGAGCTGAACTTGTGCCTGGTCATGTGACTTTCATTGATTCATAAACAATGTGTGGCTATTTGCTCTGAAGCAGGATATAAGGGATATAATCTCCCAATCAGAAATCCACGTGCAGTCTGTTTTGTTTTCTTCATGGTGGGGTTTAAGGGGTTTATTTTCCCGCTCAGATGTATTTCCCTCCCAGACAGCGAAGTCCGGCAAAGACACACCCAGTGATATAACTTTACAGTATTTTAATGCAAGGATCGGTAAAAGTTGTATCTGAAACTATTTTTTTAATCAGGAATAATATATTCCAATATCTTGTTAATTTAGATGCAGCTTTTACTAAACATATTTAAAATAATAATAACCCTAAGCAAAGCAGCTGATCGCTATTGCTGGGGATTATTTTTTACATGGAACCAGTCTGACCAGTCACCGTCAAGGCTCCTGTGCAAGTGATCGCGTGATCGCGAGAATTACGTGTTGACATAGAATTGTCGAACAAAAACAAATATGACTTTTAACGAATCAAAGTATGGCATTTATGATATATGTATCCATTCTCTGTCAACTAAAGTTTGTTTCAAGGCGTCAATAGCGGTAATCTGACCGTGGTTGCTGTTAATAACGGTGAGTTGTGCGATCTTTCGATCGCTTCACACACGATTTCGCCGAAATTAATTAAAACAATATTAAAAGGAATTTTGAATAAAATTAATGAAATAAGTTACAAACATAAGTCCAGATATACAAAGAACACTTTTCATAGCCAGACAGTGTAATTACATGAATAATTTGCGAACTTCAGTATGGAATTGTTGACATGGTATTTCCGGTGTTACGTGCTCACGGTAATGTCTTTCCATGGGGCAAAAAACATCAAAACTCATTAATTCGTGTATAATGTGCACCCCCTTCTACACAGCTGTGTTTTTTGGAAAAAAAGTGCGCACTATACTGAAGAAAATCGGTACTGTGATGGCCTCCTACCTCTGCCAGCCTGGGAGCCATCAATGAAGAACTTGGCCTCTTCTCGGACTGTAGCCTCCTTCAGTCCCCGGCCAGAGAGGATGATCTTGGTGATGTCATGGAAGCCCCCAGTAGCAAAGGCGGAGAATGCAGAACCGGACAGAGGATGGTCCGACCAGTTCAGGTGGATGTTATGATGACCTGAATCACAGATGTTAAATGAAGTGGTGTTATGGTCTAATTATCACAATCGATGTATTCATTGCTAGTCTGTGTATCATAACCACAGTTTTAGCTCTGAAATTTGATAGGACACTGATTGTTATTTGTTCTGTAAAACAACTCAAAACTTTCAAAACGTCTGGTTGCCTGAAAGTTTGCCACATGACTATTATCAATCTTCAACCTTTTAGATAAATGTGATGGTTGTCATAGAAAGGTAAATTGTTCTATAGCCAACCTCAGCTACCTCACAAACAAACAATGACTGAGTATGATTTTATGTCACTATTAGCAACATTCCAGCCACATAGGCTTTACACACTGTACCCATGTAAAGAATTGGATTAGCCTTTGGCATGAAGAGCCAATGCTTCAACTACTATAGCCTACAAAGTTGACATAATTTACGGTTAATGATTCCCTTATCATATTGTAATCGTGATGCTTCGGTATATATCCTTAGGCTGTTGTCAAGCAAAACTGAATAATCAACATGGTACACAATTATATACACCTCACGGCCCCCACAAACATATCCCCATCAGATGCTGATATACAGCTGCATCTTACTGCCCCCCAAAACATGTCCCCATCAGATGCTGACATACAGCCACATCTCACTGCCCCCCAAAACATGTCCCCATCAGATGCTGATATACAGCCACACCTCACGCCCCGTTTCCCCATCAAATGCTACAGACAGCCACACCTCACGCCCCCTGTTTCCCCATCAAATGCTAACATACAGCCACACCTCACGCCCCCTGTTTCCCCATCAAATGCTAACTTACAGCCACACCTCATGCCCTGTTTCCCCATCAAATGCTAACATACAGCCACACCTCACGCCCTGTTTCCCCATCAAATGCTAACATACAGCCACACCTCACACCCCGTTTCCCCATCAAATGTAACATACAGCCATACCTCACGCCCCCTGTTTCCCCATCAAATGCTAACATACATCCACACCTCACGCCCCCTGTTTCCCCATCAAATGCTAACATACAGCCACACCTCACGCCCTGTTTCCCCATCAAATGCTAACATACAGCCACACCTCAAGCCCTGTTTCCCCATCAAATGCTAACATACAGCCACACCTCACGCCCTGTTTCCCCATCAAATGCTAACATACAGCCACACCTCACGCCCCCTGTTTCCCCATCAAATGCTAACATACAGCCACACCTCACGCCCTGTTTCCCCATCAAATGCTAACATACAGCCACACCTCAAGCCCCGTTTCCCCATCACATGCTAACATACAGCCACACCTCACACCCTCTGTTTTCTCATCAAATGCTAACATACAGCCACACCTCACGCCCTGTTTCCCCATCAAATGCTAACATACAGCCACACCTCACACCCCCTGTTTCCCCATCAAATGTAACATACAGCCATACCTCACGCCCCCTGTTTCCCCATCAAATGCTAACATACAGCCACACCTCACGCCCCCTGTTTCCCCATCAAATGCTATCACACAGAATAGTGGACGTAGGCCCACCTTCTTCTCTAGGGGTGAAGATGACGGTGCTTTTGCCGTTGTAGCTGTCGTCCACAGTGCACGGCACGATGGACCCGCTAGGACCTCGCACCTCCGCTGTCAACTTGCCTGAAATGAGGTAGTTCATGTAAGAATGTTAATTATTAACTTGGTCTTCTGATTTACAAAAATTAATTTTCCTACAGTATACAATATAACTGTTATTGTCATCTATCTCACTAAATAACAAAACAAAAATATTCCTCATTGCTTCCCCTTAAGATAAGATAAAATAAGATAATACTTTATCACACAATTTGTGAATTTCGTCACCTAATAAATCCCCAGTCACAAATTGAAGCATGACAGTGAAGCAGAAATATACCCATAGAGAATAAATGACCTGACACGAACAGCTGTCGATGATGTTTCGCATCTCTGACGTCATATAGAGCATTAAATTGTTAAGTTGTTTCTTTGTAAGCTTCAATTAATTATCACCTGGTCCTGCCTCGGCCGTCTCAAATGGGATGTGTTTCTCCTCTCCAACCACCAGGTGGATACGTTCGTTCGAGTCCATATAGTGCTGCCAGCCGCCAATCACTCGGACCTTGCGTGCATCAACGATACGAGGGTGGAATGGGCTACCTACAATATGGATAATTTGTTGATTATGGTTGAAACAAAGGGGAGGGCTGACATGAAATATCAGTGATTGAAAATCAAATATTAGTTCAGTATTAATCTGTCACAAATATATGAAAAATTGTCAACTTTTATCTTTTGGTATGTAATTTATTCATTTATTTTGACAAGGTGCTGGGTTGCGTTCTTCATCTTGAAATCTCAAGGTGGTAGGTTTTTGGCATCAGCATGATTACTCTGAATGACATCCAAAAACAGACAAATACAATTTTCATATAAAGGAGCAAGTGAATAAAACTTATTTTCAAAAACAGATTTTTGTATTGTAAATAGAAACGGAAAACATTCAACACATGTATATCCCTAGAGCTGAAATCTTTCAATAAATACGCACAAGGAAAACATTTTTATTTTCTATAAACTATTGCTAGTTTTAGCACTCTACAAATATCAAATATGAAAAAACCAACTCAACTACAAAAAAATAAATAAAATCGACTAATTCCAGATGAAGTAAATTAAAATTCTCTTAAAAATCTGTTACTTTCAGATAAGCGTATGTTAACAAGTTCCAATAGAATAACTATTTCCTTAGCACAGACAAAGATTCTGAGAGAAGTGCAATGAAATCTATTCTACACAGCTCATTGCAAAGACAAAGACACATTGAATGGCACAAGGTGAATTATTCAAACAAACTCATTTGAGAGTGCAGAGAGTTAAGTCTTGTGACAAAGAAAGTGCTTCAATCAAACATGTCAGTTTCATAATAACAGTGACAAGAGTTATCCCCCTTATCCTCCTGATACCAATGAGCACAAGTTCTGTAAAATACATACGTTCAATCAATCATCTAATTATACCACAAAACAGTTCTATCATCAACTGAAACATTTTAAACTAAAAACTTGTGTTGTTCAGTTCAATAATTGTAAAATCTAAAAAGATGATCCTGATAAAGTAAAGTATTCTGACAAAAAAAGAAAGAAATTATATTTAAGCATATTTCAAAAACATCATCAAAACTAACACACAAAATATAATCTTCAAAATTTTTACAAACCTGTAGAGGTTATGAATTCTCTGATGAAATCCTCCTTGGGGCACTTATTGCATTTTCCTTGCTCAAGAAAATCTATATGACATAGTTGTAACCATTTTCCTTAATAAAAAATGTTACCACACAAAAAACTTCGTTTTTGTATGATATACGACCACCCTTACGGGGCCTCACCCCCAACGGCGCCTCACGCCAGGGGGAGCAACTCTCACCCAAATCACTTTCCATATGTCAAATGCTGACGGAATGTGGGGAGGTGGGTGGCCGTGCCCCAAGGAGGATTTCATCAGAGAATTCATAACCTCTACAGGTTTGTAAAATTCTCTTTCTGATTAAATCCTCCTTGGGGCACTTATTGCATCAAGACAGACTCCCAAAGATAATCTAGGAAGTGGCATCCGTCAGCAACAGGCGTAAATAAATACATCGTATTTGATTATTCAACAGAATAAAATATTGAGTTCAATAAATGGAACCAACCTTATCGTGAGGCACCACCGTCGAAAGGCGGGGGCTAGAGACAGGGCGTGGTCGACCATATATTATGATAAAGCCTGTTTTTGCGGCTTGTCATAAGTTGAGAACTCGAAACACCTCCCACCCCCCCACACTTTTTTGAACAAGTGATATAAGGGCGTAGATCACGAGAGACCATAACCAGCGCTGAGCTAGGCCAGAGGGTCCCCGAGGATCGAAGGAGTGCGTGCGCAAAATACGAGTATTATCGAGTAGTAAGGACTGATATTTATCGACCGCAGAAGATAAAATCCGGACCATTACTGAGCAGTATAACCGGAAGACTGTCTAAAATCTCGAATGCTCAATCAGCTAGAGATTAGAACTTTGCCCAGTTCGGAGAACTGACTGACCAAACCGAGTACGCTCGCTTGAGTGTTTGTCGAGTTGGTAAGGTTTGATGAATCGTGCTCGGCTGGCTCCAAATAGCCGCGGAGCAGATCTGCTCAATGGGCAGAGCCGCGGCGTACGCTTTTGACGCAGCCACTGCTCTAACCTAATGAGCCTTCAACCTGGTAGGGGGGTCCCTGCCTGTAAGCGTATACGCTGTACAAATGTTTGAAACTATCCACCTCGAGATAGATTGTTTACTCGCAGGTGAGCCAACCTTCCTACCGCAGTAACAGCAAAATAGTTGGTTATCCTTACGGACACCCATATTTCTGCTGATATAGGCCTTGAGAGTCGTGCGGACATCCAAGACATGAGCATGTCTTGCAGTGGTCCCCGACGAGGAAGGCTGTGAAAGAGCGGGTAGCTCAATAGGAGCGTGGAATCGTGTGCGACCCTAGGACGGTAATAGTCCGGTAGACGAAAACTGACTGTCCCGGTGATATTTATCGACCCCATGGGAGACAGTTATTTTGGGATCGGCTGACATAACACGAATGTCGCCTACCCGTCTGCCGGACGTTACCACCACAAGGAACGCCGTCTCCCAGCTCAACAGCTGAAGAGAGAGAGACGACAGATCCCGAAAGGAAGGACCGGACAGCCAATCTAGAATGATTGACAAGTCCCAAGGGGGACTGATCCGCCGGACTGGCGGTCGGATCCTGTCCACACCTGCTAAAAAGCGCTGCACTAATGGGTGTGCACCCAGAAGTGCCCCGTCGACAGGGACGTGAAAAGCTGCGATAGCTGTAGAGTACCCTCGGACTGTTGATGCGGCCAGGCCGTCATCTAGTCGCGACTGGAGAAACTCAAGCACGGATACGAGATCTGCAGAAAAAAGATCTGCAATCCCTCTATCGACACACCTGGGCGCATAGCAGGCCTATCTATCGTACTGAACGTTTGTCGAATCCCTCCGCGAAGCCAGTATTGTGTCTGCAACTCGTTCAGGAATACCGCTCTTCTGGAGGCGATTCCTGACAGTGGCCAAGCCACCCATTGAATCCTGAGATTCGGGTGGAGGGCCCCGTTCTGGGATAGGAGGTCCGGTCGTAAAGGTAATATAACAGGAGGCTGAGCCAGAAACCTGAGTATTACTGGAAACCCACTCTGCGCCGACTAAAGAGGTGCCAGGAGCACAATTAGTCGCGCAGGCTGAGTGCCTAGCTGAGACAGGACCTTGGAAATCAGAGGTACTGGGGAGAATGCCCACAGAACTGTCCGTCCAATCTAGCTGAAAGGCGTCCGGTGCCACCGACCTCGGGTCGTGGACTCGGGAGCAGAACGTTGGTGTCTGGTTATTTAACCCAGACGCAAACAGATCCACCTGTAACGACCTGTATAACAGGGAGAAAATCCCGAATATCCCCGGGTCGAGCCTCCACTCGTGAGGAGCGAGGATCCGGCAAGACAGAGCGTCCGCACGGACGTTGTCCACCCCCGGGAGATAAACAGGTAGCACCCTGATATCGTGAGAGTCGCACTATAGTAGGAACTGCCACGTCTTTCGTCGAAGCGACGGAGACGCCGTTCCCCCCTGCTTCCGGATGTAAGTCATCGCCGTTTGGTTGTCCATCTCTAGACGAACCACTTGGCCACGAAGCAGATTCGGGAAGCGTTGGAACACCAACCTGACCGCTCTCAGTTCTAGCACATTGATATGCAGTTTGATCTCCTGCTGGGACCATAGTCCCGAGGCAGTGTGATCATTCAGAACGCCTCCCCAGCCGGAGAGTGACGCGCTGTTTGAACTGTGAGAGACGGAACGGGAGTGATTCCCGACCTCGGTCCACCACTGGAGGTGTGTAATGAGCCACTACGGAGTCTCGAGCACAGTCTCGAGATCTTCCGAGTTCGCCCAAAGTCGACGGAGTGCTTGTTGAATGGGACTCATTCTCAAGCGCGCCCGCCAGACCAAATCCACTGTCGCCGCCATGTTGTCCAGTAACTGGAGCCATGTACGAGCAGTGTGACTTGCGCTTAAGGGACTTGATATCTTGTGACAGAGATACACGTCCTCTCACCGTGTTGAAATTAGCCACTAGGAAGACTAGATTCTGAGTGGGGCTCAGATCTGACTTCTTGAGATTGACCATCCACCCTAGAGTGATCAGAATATCTATCACTTGTTGTGTAGCTATCTGACTCAGGGATTGCAATAGAGCTCTTAGTAACCTAGTCGTCGAGGTACGGATGGCAGAACCGACCTTTTGACCTGGCCACTTGGGCGGGAATCAACATCAGCTTGGTGAACACCCTCGGGGCCGTGGAGATCCCGAATGGTAGAACCCTGAACTGATAACACCTCCCGTCGAAAGAAAACCTCAGGTATTTCTTGAACTCTGGATGTATTGGTATGTGGAGATAGGCGTATTTTAAGTCTATTGACGTTAGCCATTCTCCTGTCTCGACAGTTGAGATCACTGTTTGGTGACTAGGAAACAAGTCGAGTAGAAGCCCTCGCTTTCCTGTCCCTCGGGACCCGGTTCGATCGCAGCTTTCATAAGAAGTGCGTCGACCTCGGCACGGAGGAATTCCGCCTTCTCTCGGGTAGCAGGCACCGGTGTGTGCTTTATCCCGGAAAAGTGGAGGAGCGGATGAGTTTTCCCGATAACTTGCGACTATGGGTTCACCCGGGGCTCTTCGGGCGCTAATGGGAACCCATCGTTCCCAGCCCCGCGAAAAAGCTGTTGGCCTCGACCAGCTGCCTTGCCCCGGCCCGTGCCTCTCTTGCTCCTCACGGCGCCCTTATACCTGAAGGAAGCGGCGGCTTCCAACCAGGTGTGGACGTCTGACCCGTGCGTTAGCGTAGGAGGGGACAATTGGAGAGGCCCGCTTACGCGGTTTTAACGCTTGGTACCTCCAACAAGGCCTTATGAGTCTTTGATGGAAGTATACAATTGAGCAGCCTCTCGGACCGCCTGCTGAGCCCCAGGGAAGAGGGTGGCACCCTCTTATACGGCAAAGCAAGTAGGTCTTGGCGTGTGTAAGTCGAGTATTTAGATACCGACATCCACCGCCTGCGCATGCACATAACAGCGCACAACATCTGCGATGCACAGCTACGAATAGCGTCCCGCGCAAGATAATGTTAGTTGCGCGGCCAACTCCGAAGAGTCGGCCGGCCCCTCTCCCGCTAACTCCCTCTGTACAGCCGACAGATACGCGGAGTGTACGGACACACGGAGCTGTTGGCATGCATTATGATATTGCTCCTCGAAGCATATGTAAGCAGCCTTCAACTCCGCACCGCACACGGGAAAGGGGGGGCAACCGCCGGCCCTGCTTGACCTTAGTCAAGTTGGGTGTCTCCGACTCTGGCATGGGCGCAGCAACCTGAGGCAGTACATGGACAATCCTGTCCCGCACGTGTCTCTGCACCCGGCCCGAGGCCGAGTCCCGGTGCCGAGGTGCCGGAGGTTCAAGGGAACCCACCTGGCACTGGGCTAGGTATCCACTAGTGAAAGCCTTGGCCTCGGAAGAGGCGTCTGGCTCCGCCAGGGTAAATTGTGCGTCGGTAGTGCACGGGCCGGTGCCCGCCACCACTACGCTGGGGAAGCTCGGTCTCGGATCGTCCCCGAGACAAAGGGAACCAACCTGGCTCCGGGCTAGGTATCCACTAGTGGACGCCTCGGCCTCGGAAGAGGCGTCTGGCTCCGCTAGGGAAAATTGTGCGTCGGTAGTGCACGGGCCGGTGCCCGCCACCACTACGCTTGGGAGCGACCTCGAGCCGGAGCCGAAGCTCGGTCTCGGATCGTCCCCGAGACAAAGGGAACCAACCTGGCTCCGGGCTGGGTATCCACTAGTGGACGCCTCGGCCTCGGAAGAGGCGTCTGGCTCCGCTAGGGAAAATTGTGCGTCGGTAGTGCACGGGCCGGTGCCCGCCACCACTACGCTGGGGAGCGACCTCGAGCCGGAGCCGGAGCCGAAGCTCGGTCTCGGATCGTCCCCGAGACCAAGGGAACCCCCCTGGCTCCGGGCTACGAATCCACTAGTGAAAGCCTCGGCCTCGGAAGAGGCGTCGTGCTCCGCTAGGGAAAAATTGTGCGTCGGTAGTGCACGGGCCGGCGCCCGCCACCCCTCCGCTGGGGAGCGACCTCGAGCCGGCGCCGAAGCCCGGTCTGAGATCGTCCCCGAGACCAAGTTGCCTGCCTCGGCCGACGCCGGGCATATCACAAGGTCTCGAAGCCGCGTCCGGCGCCGACAACGGGGAAGGCTCGGTCCGCATCTCCTCTCGGAGCTGAGACTTTACCTCCTCCATCATCGACGCCATCTGCGACTTAAGTAACGCAGAAAAGTCTGCCAAAGACAGTGCAGGAGAGGGTGCAGTGCTTACTACGGGGACCCTCGAGCCTTCTCCCCCGGCCCCCGGAGAGGGAGCGGGGGAGACAATCTCGGCAGCTTTTTTACCCTTTTTAGATGGGGAGGGGGGGATGTCTTAGTAGATCTGATATCTACCCCCGCCTTTAATAGACCTCTTTAAAGTGGAACAAGTCAACTTGTCTCTTTTGGGGGCCCCGGGGGGTAAAGGCAATGTCCTCCGCCAGACATATTCGGCAGCGTTCGTGCCTGTCTTAGAACAACCCGTACACAGTTTGAAGGTCTTGTAAACAAGACCGTAATTTCTGAGGTGGGCGGGAAGGGTATCAACGTGTATCAGTGCGATATAAAGATCGGAAAGAAACGTGCATAAATTGTGAAACTAGAAGCAAAGGCGTAATGTAGAATGCGATTTGTAACGCGATACTAATAGCCAATGTGTAGTATAATTATAACACCAAAGGGGCGTGTTACGCGCTAAGGTGTAAAAACCCGTAAAAAAGGTAAGTGTAGTTTATGAATTAACACACCACCTTGGGTTTTGTAAAGGAAAAAATTGTAGACCAATGCTGTATGATATAACAAAACCCCAAGCCGTTTCTTAATGGCCTTGGTGTTACATGTATCAGCCCGTGGAACTACAATATGGACGCCATTACGGCCATTGGAATTCAAAGGTACCGTGCACGTGGCGTATTATTACAACTCTATAACTTCACAATGCGAGGTATTACGCCTTTGCAAAGAAAGAAATGTACCATACATACAGTTTGGTCAGCCATGGTTCTTGTCGAACGATAGATTTCTCTTATTTTTGTCTTGTGTGAAAAATCAACACGTCTGTCTCTTACAGATGACATAAGGAAAGTGATTTGGGTGAGAGTTGCTCCCCCTGGCGTGAGGCGCCGTTGGGGGTGAGGCCCCGTAAGGGTGGTCGTATATCATACAAAAACGAAGTTTTTTGTGTGGTAACATTTTTTATTAAGGAAAATGGTTACAACTATGTCATATAGATTTTCTTGAGCAAGGAAAATGCAATAAGTGCCCCAAGGAGGATTTAATCAGAAAGAGAATTCAACAATGGTCGGTGGTGAATTTTTTAACACATCAAACTTAAACAAAATCATCTACCACTGACAACCTGCCGACCACCACTGTATATATTGTATGATTTATGTTACCATGAATATCCCGCCCGTTCCACTTGACAGTAATATCAAACAGCCCCGTCTCCACAGGGACGTAGGTGACGACAAATCGGCCTCCCGGCTGGGGGTCTATGCTACACTTAGCTATAGAGTTAGGGCCTGAAAGCAGGGAGAGCCAGTTGGCATGAAGACTTGGTGAAGTGAAAGCCAGCAAGATTGTGTCAGTCTAAAAGCTGTGGCTATCTTGTCAATATCTATTCTTGACACTGCAAAGTGTCACAAACCTTGTGCATTTCATGTCAATTTCACAGAATAATTTACTGAAGATTATATCTACAAATTATAATTTTTCATCTTGAATAAATCACATTTTTCTGGAGTGATTTGAAAAACATGTCCTCAATGCATGTTTAGATCTGTATGAAGAATACAATAAACTTCCAAAATGCACCGAACATCATGGACAAGAAATGGACAAGTTATGACAAGATAACACATTCATTTCACTCCCTTGCTCATTTCAATGTTGGAACATTGTCTTGTCAAGTAACAATACAACAACACAATTGCAAACAACAAACGAAATATGAGCGAGGGAATGTTAACAAGATATGTACATGAAGGAAAATTGTTAAATCTACAAAAAGACAAGTTCTTCTCAAACTAAAGGAAAATTTACAATTAGTAGCTGAAAAAGAAATACACAACTGCAAATGTATATCTGGAAGAGAGAGAGAGAAGTTTACATCACAACTAACTAACCTTAGAAGATATTTATGTGGAAAAAACAAAGACTACAGTGACACTCATCAGCTGAAAACTATTGAAAAATGATGGAAAAAATAAACTATCTAATCTGTTAAATCTGTTTCTAGAAGACTATAAGGATTATAAGGACCCACTGATCCGATTTCACAGTTGTCCAATGAACATTTCGAAGTGACAAATTTCCCTTAATCAACCAGATCAGTACCACTACCTTCCTGACAGAACGTCTGTTTACTTCCGTCAAATGTACATTTCGAAATGACAAATTTCCTTTAATCAACCAGATCAGTACCACTACCTTCCTGACAGAACGTCTGTTTACTTCCGTCAAATGTACATTTCGAAATGACAAATTTCCCTTAATCAACTAGATCAGTACCACTACCTTCCTGACAGAACGTCTGTTTCCTTCCGTCAAATACACATTTCGAAGTGACAAATTTTCCTTAATCAACCAGATCAGTACCACTACCTTCCTGACAGAACGTCTGTTTACTTCCGTCAAATGTACATTTCGAAGTGACAAATTTCCCTTAATCAACCAGATCGGTACCACTACCTTCCTGACAGAACGTCTGTTTCCTTTCGTCAAATGTACATTTCAATGTAACACCGTTCCCTTTATCAACCAGATCGGTACCACTAACCTTCCTGAGAGAACGTCTGTTTCCTTCCGTCAAATGTACATTTCAATGTTACACATATTTTCCAAAAACAGTCCACCAAGCTGCCTGTCTGACGTCTATGTCTGTCATCAAAACTCAGAACAAAGGGAAGGTAGGATTTCTACAGTGGCAGGTAAATTGATACCTCATGAAATATACATGATAACAATCATTTGGTTATCACTAGGTTGCTGAAGCTTGTGGACACAGATTCCACTACCCTCTTCATGTACCCACAGGACAGCTACCACCGAGCCAATCAATAATAGCTTGTTTATAGCATGCTTCTCAATCCATGCAACTAAATGTCAGTACACATTGCAATCTCAATTTCTGATATGTTTCCCAGGAGAAAATGACACAAAAGTGCTGAATTGTGTAACTAATGAATCATTAATAGCTACAACTCATGTGGCTTACGGCTACACAGCTACGGCTACAAGGGTATTACTCCCTGTCAAAGTTTTATTGCGAATAAGATGATTAATTTCAGCTCCAACACTAATGTCTAAAATGAATAGCCAGTAGGTGTAACTCTATGTGATCAAACCACTATTTGCATACTTTTTGTTAAATTTTATGACAAATTTTTAATTTATGCATTTCAGATCTCTCATTGATTTTAGGGTTTGTCTGAATATATTTTGACGTAGTACGGAAAAAGATGATGTACTCTGTAGTGAACCTTCAAATGATTCCAAAGGAAATTCAAAGATAAAAAAGATAATGTTCAAAACGATAAATATTATACATAATTAATGTGTATCACTGCATGTCCCTGATCCTTACCCTGAAAATAATGCACACGGACAATGAAAGAAAGTAAAAAAACAGTCACTTTCTAAAAGCTGAAAAGAACACTGATGAAATATGCAGGTGGGCTGAAAGGTAAAGACTGATATCTACCAAAGCTTAGTGATGTTTATTTGGCCTAGGTCTGTACATCACAACAAGCAACACGTCGTTAGTGGCGCCACCTACATGTGTCTATTTCACAGCCTCACATCTAGGACCAGCGTCAGTTTCACCATCTTACCCTCCACCATTACAACAGATGTTCGGACGGCTGTGATTGACGACACAGCAGCTTGTAAATCCCCTTCCTCTTCCATTTTGACAATCATCGACGTTGTTTCCACATCATCCTCAACTTGACTCTTCCTGTACATCTTGTCCCCACCACCCTCAATTTCAAAGCCAGCCTCGTCAATTTCATACTGTCTCAAGTCCCCATCCATTGCATCGCTTCTCCTGTACATCTTGTCCCCACCACCCTCAATTTCAAAGCCATCCTCGTCAACTTGATACTGCCTCATACTGTCCCCATCCACTGCATCGCTTCTCCTGTACATCTTGTCCCTACTATCCCTAATTTCATTGCCAGCCTCGTCAACTTGATACTGCCTCATCATGTCCCCTTCGTCGTAGTGAGAATGTACAGCCGTGACGCTAGTTCTCGTCACAGATGACTGACTGATGTGCATGTCAGCAGCTTCCTCTACACTGCCTGCTGGTACACAAGGAATGTTCTTACACATTTACCCAGTCCTAACCTCAACGGATGAGTGCAAAAACAAACTTAATGATAAATATTAACATTTTGTCATTGAACTCAATCATACTGTATTTTCATGTCCCCATAAATGTCCTGGGTGTACGAACATTGGCACTTTCCTACTGCAGGTGATTGGATAGAGAAACTGTATCATGAGACTTGTGGTATATGGTCAAAGGAGTGTAAGAAACAGTTAAAGATGGTTGGCTGATGACTCGAGGTATTTTTCACAATATTCAGCAAAAGTACAGCTAGCTACATATGACACTGATCCAGAACATGGATAGGAATGACACTGATCCAGAACATGGATAGGAACGACACTGATCCAGGACATGGATAGGAATAACACTGATCCAGAACATGGATAGGAACGACACTGATCCAGAACATGGATAGGAATGACACTGATCCAGAACATGGATAGGAATAACACTGATCATGAACATGGATAGGAACGACACTGATCCAGAACATGGATAGGAATAACACTGATCCAGAACATGGATAGGAACGACACTGATCCAGAACATGGATAGGAATAACACTGATAAAAAAAAACATGGATAGGAATGACACTGATCCAGAACATGGATAGGAACGACACTGATCAAGAACATAGATGGGAACGACACTGATCCAGAACATGGATAGGAACGACACTGATCCAGAACATGGATAGGAATGACACTGATCCAGAACATGGCTAGGAACGACACTGATCCAGAACATGGATAGGAATAACACTGATCCAGAACATGGATAGGAACGACACTGATCCAGAACATGGATAGGAACGACACTGATCCAGAACATGGATAGGAAAAACACTGATCCAGAACATGGATAGGAACGACACTGATCCAGAACATGGATAGGAACGACACTGATCCAGAATATGGATAGGAATAACAATGATCCAGAACATGGATAGAAATAACACTGATCCAGAACATAGACAGGAATAACACTGATCCACCCCTGGGACAGGAATAACACTGATCCACCCCTGGGACAGGAATGACACTGATCCATCCCTGGGACAGGAATGACACTGATCCACCCATGGGACAGGAATGACACTGATCCACCCATGGGACAGGAATGACACTGATCCACCCATGGGACAGGCATGACACTGATCCACCCCAGGGACAGGCATGACACTGATCCACCCCAGGGACAGGCATGACATTGATCCACCCCAGGGACAGGCATGACACTGATCCACCCCAGGGACAGGCATGACACTGATCCACCCCTGGGACAGGCATGACACTGATCCACCCCAGGGACAGGCATGACACTGATCCACCCCAGGGACAGGCATGACACTGATCCACCCCAGAGACATCTCAATTGAACAAGATGTGTGTCAGCTGATATTAAGTGCACATGGCATTTTGTATCACATATGAACAACAAACAGGAGGAGAAATTATACAGAGTAACACAATATACAACTGCAGTAAGCAAGTTGCTACAATACTGTAGTAGATGAAGGCCCATGTTCAGCGACCTGGACATTGTGGGCATGGATCTGGACACTATCTGGGTACTGATGACATGGTCAGGTCAACACCGAGACACAATCTTTCCTTGAGGTCACCCATCCAAGTAAATATTCATACACAGCCATAATGTCCAACCAATACCCAGTTCAGCTGCCTGTTACAACAAGTATGATCAAGTGCCTATGGACCATAATACTGCCCTGAAAACAGCAAAGGTCTAACGTAACATGAGAAACAAAACAGCTTCAACAGACATGATGAACAAGAATATTCAGGACCTGGAATCAAAGAAAGGTGAGAAGTAATGCAATGCAGATCAGCAAAGACGCGCAATGTATGTCACGTAACAAGTACAGCAACTTGTGCATGGGCAGGAAGATGAAGCAATGAATGTCCCTCAACCAACACAATAGCCAGACATGGTACCAAAGCAAGGTTTTGGTCTGCACATCTAAGTGCCTGGGTAAAAACATACCAACAGCCTCAGCCTGTAGGGATATAGCTCTGATGTCTTCTACTGAAGCGTAATCTACATGGTAAAAGTGAAATCCATCATCATCAGTTTCATGAGATGAGCATGCAATGTGCACCCGTACAGCTGACGACTAAACTTCGCCCTGTTTCCTGTCATATATATGGTATAAGTATATATAAGTATCATAAACAGAGGAAATAATTTGCAAGGACACCATAATAAAATACATGGCTGGAGAAGACTTTTCGTGATCAATTTGTAAAATTCATAATTCCAAGCTATGCCTGATTATTATGTATTCCTAATTCTTTACGGAAGAAGCTTTCCAGTTTCCAGTGTCCAGTGAATGACACAGATGTGATATCATCCTGGCAGTTAGATTATTCCAACGTGACCGTAAAAGACACATCCCCATACCATAACTGTCTTTAGAAACACAACATAATCAGGCATGAATAAATTCTTGGCACTCAGGGACAGGTACTTCAGCAAAAACAACTGATTAGTAATCTGCTTTTAGGAAAACAGAACAAAGACAAAATATAATACACTGTCACTTTTACACATGAAAACAAGTTTTTCACATGAAATTATTAAAACCTTAGAGAATCAATATCATTTGTCAGTCTTTCAATAATGGCACAATAATGGCAAGAAATGTAAAAAGGTTAAAAACTGAATTAAAAAATTATGTTTGATATTTAATGTGGAAAGCTGAATCATTGCAATTTAATGCTTTACGTATATATTGTAACCCTGGAATTTCAGACAGTTGTTTATTTGGTCTTCTAGTGATTATTTGGTCTTCAAGTATTTATTTACTCAGTATATATGTGCACTTTAATTCACCATGACGATTTCCACATATGTGAAACATGTGACAATGTCTGCTGTACTTACCATCGACTTGTATGGTGGGTTCGCCAGTAATCCCGCCAGCCTCCACGAAGAAGGTAGCTGGCTTGTCCTCCTCGCCACGGTACAACCCATCTCCGTGGGCAGTAGCCAGAGCTCCCTCCCCGATCTCCTGGGTGAATGGGCTTCCTGGGACACAAAGGCACATGTTACCTCTAGGATCAGGGAGTCACTGGGACGTGAGTGTGTGAGTTGGGTTTAACGCCACTTTTAACAGTATTCCAGTTATATCACGGCATGTCAGCTTAATGTGGGAGGAAAGCCCCAAGTGATGCAGGTCTCAGACGTTTACCACTTTGGTGAAATCCACGAGCACGGGTATGGACAAACCTAGAAACATAATCAAGGCAAACCGGGATTCGAACCCACAATCATAGGTTTCTAGCGTGCCCAAGGGACCCAACTCTGCACAGCGAATCATGGCACCTTAGACGACTGGGCCACCCGTGCCCTGTCACTGAACGGGTCAGTTCAGACAATGACCCTAACGTGAAACATTTGACCAAAGTAAATCTTGAAGAGGGAACTCAGTCTGGTTCTAGTGCTCCTCACAACTCACTGACCAACATTTTTAGCAAAATGTTAAAAACATGATTTATGTCTGCCAATTTGAACCGTCTAAAAACTGCCAATGTGGAAACAAAAGTCCTTTGTCAAAATCCGGTCCATGTTCTTGCCAAACAAATCAATCCTAAAATCTGCTTTTATCCAAATTTAATATACAACTAAAGGAGGATTTGGGAAACAATAGTTATTTCCCAGAATAAGGAAGAAATGACAATCAGAAACAATATTCCTTATACAGTTGAAAACATCCACGTACAAGAGATGCAACTACCCTCACTGTACATGTGCTACCATCCTCATCTCGACATTCATTACACCCAGATCAAATAAACAATCAACAGTAGGTTGATTAACTTCAGCTTCTACCAATGGGTATGAATATGGGTACCCATTTGCTTCATCAGAGATATTAAGACTAATTTGAAATAAAAATAACAAATATTCGGTTATGAAACTCCATCCTAGATAAACCTAGACTCAGTCTAGAATTTATGTTGGAGTGTTTTTTTCAGTGACTACTTCATAACATGTAATTTATTCCTTTAAAAAGATCCAAACAAATAATTTTCCAATTTTCAGAGCATTCAGTATTTCTGGTTCAGGACAAGATCGCCCTGGAAGGGGACTTTTCCAGACTGACATGGTCTTGCAGTATTTCTGGATCAGGACAAGATCGCCCTGGAAGGGGACTTTTCCAGACTGACATGGTCTTGCAGTATTTCTGGATCAGGACAAGATCGCCCTGGGAGGAGAGGTTTCCAGACTGACATGGTCTTGCAGTATTTCTGGATCAGAACAAGATCTCCCCGGAAGGGGACGTTTCAAGACTGACAAGGTCTTGAAGTATTTTTGGATCAGGACAAGATCGCCCTGGAAGGGGAGGTTTCCAGACTGACAAGGTCTTGCAGTATTTACAACCTGACCACAAAGGAAATATCGATCACAACAACATGTTATTTTCTGTAACCTTCAGTAGTAAACATGAAGGTAATTTTGTTCATTATACACCAAGAGTATGTGGCCTAAATGAAGTCTCTTTGTATATATCAGAAGGGTAGTCTCAGTATCACCAGATTAACTCTGCAACATATTGATTAAATTTCATGCATGCCCGGACTTATTAGAGCGGGTTTGATTTACTTCAACATAAGCCTTACACCAGGACTGTGTGTATAACCTTTGAAGCATGTCATCTATATGACATTGCCTGAACAGGTAATAAATCTCATATACATATAAGTTTGTATAGTATATCAATTTCCATGTATTTCTGTGACCTTGAGAGGTCAGCTTTGTCCAAGTTTGGGGAAAGTAATGAGGCCTTACTCCATTATTCCACAAGGAAAGCGCTCACCAACAGCCCACAGGCCATTTGTTATGTGTCGACTACAGGCCAGTATTAACAAGCAGTCTGCTAACATTGTGTTACAATAAATATGCATCACGATGGTCACATCACAATAAATATGCATCACAATAGTCATGTCACAATAAATATGCATCATGATAGTCACGTCACAATAATTATGCATCACAAGTAATGTCACAATAAATATGTATCACAATAGTCACGTCACAACAAATATGCATCATGATAGTCACGTCACAATAAATATGCATCACGATAGTCACGTCACAATAAATATGCATCACGATAGCTACATGTTAAGAATGAAATATATCTCATATATATTTCTTTACAAACTCTGACAGTCAAACATTTTCAAACACAGGACTTTGATAAACAGTTTTCTTCAGTACTTTACTAGAGGGCTGACAAGGGTCACTGCATGTCTTGAATACAATACTGTTCTGTCAGCTTTGAACAAACTCATTCAGGCTATCTACCATTACATTCATTTGTTGTTTTCCAGGACTGCCTGCTGACCACTGGACAAAGAGCAACACAAGAATATGGTATTACCCCCATTTAAACAGAAAATTCACCATCTCTCCAAAAGTATTATCAACTACTGTAAACTACGTTTATATCGAACAAGCTTATAACGAACTGACCGATATAACAAACTTATTTTTTAGTCCCGGACATTTGCTTTATATATGCTGTACATATGCTTATAACGAACTACAGGTTTTAACTAAAACTAGTGGCCCCTTTGAGTGTGTTATAACCGTAGTTCACTGTAGTTGAACACTCAAAACATATCTGGAATTATAAAGACTTTTTGACAACCTGTGTTTTTAAATTTCAAAACACTCCAACCTAGTCCAGTGTCAACATGACCATCATGTGATTGTGCTGCTGTGTAGGCGGTGTACACAACACTCTAAAGCCCCTTACAATGAAGTGTGGGCTCACTGTGTGCAGAATATCACCATCAAGCATTTGTAAATACATTTTCTTCTCTTGATAAGCATGCATACATACATGAAATTCATAAATACTGTTTGCACTAACACGTGCCATGTAAACATACATTTCCACAAATTTGTTCTTGTTTGCATAAATCTCAAGATGTTTGTTCAGTGTAGTGACACAAAAAAAGTATATTTTTGCATGTTTCTTCCTAATATTGTAAACAAATTAAACACAACGATCCTATGTAAAACAAATAACAGATGATTAAAAAAAAACATCTTATAAAGAAAATTATAATAAAATAAAACAAAAAGTAGTTTCTTAATTCACAAAATAAATAAGAATATTCTTCTTCATAAATTCAAGAATAATTTTCTTTTAGTTGTACTGCTCCTGTTTGGAGTTTTGATCTGTGTGACATTCCGATAGAAGCCATCTGTATAAGGTAATTCACAATGTCCATTAGAAAATGGATGACGACAGAACACAATGGAATTTTGATGAAGCCTAAACAAAATATGTTTTCATTTCATGAGAACTGTATGTCTGCAGCCTAGGTGTCTGCCTGCCAAGGTGTCTGCCTGTCAAGGTGTCTGCCTGCCTAGGTGTCTGCCTGCAAAGGTGTCTGCCTGCCTAGGTGTCTGCCTGTCAAGGTGTATGCCTGTCTAGGTGTCTGCCTGCAAAGGTGTATGCCTGTCTAGGTGTCTGCCTGCCAAGGTGTCTGCCTGTCAAGGTGTCTGCCTGCCTAGGTGTCTGCCTGCCTAGGTGTCTGCCTGTCAAGGTGTCTGCCTGCAAAGGTGTATGCCTGCAAAGGTGTATGCTTGTCTAGGTGTCTGCCTGCCTAGGTGTCTGCCTGCCTAGTTGTCTGCCTGCCCAGGTGTCTGCCTGTCAAGGTGTCTGACTGTCGAGCGGTCTGCCTGTCAAGGTGTCTGCATGCCAAGGTGTCTGCCTGTCAAGGTGTCTGCATGCCAAGGTGTCTGCCTGCCAAGGTGTCTGCCTGCCAAGGTGTCTGCCTGCCTAGGTGTCTGCCTGCCTAGGTGTCTGCCTGCCTAGGTGTCTGCCTGTCAAGGTGTCTGCCTGCCTAGGTGTCTGCCTGCCAAGGTGTCTGCCTGCCTAGGTGTCTGCCTGCCTAGGTGTCTGCCTGCCAAGGTGTCTAGCTGTCATGAACATCTGCCCAATGAGACTACTGCTTACACGACATAGTTACCACACACTATCATTACAGAACGTCGACCACTACACTTGCCCTACACTTGCCCTGTTCAAATACCCCAACATCAAACTCTCCTGTACCCAGGAATACAGCACCAGGATCCCAGTGCAAGATGCGGGAGTATTATCTACAAGCAGGCAACCATTGATGTAACTGGAAAGGAATTAACACTGTCATGGCACACTTCCTTGAAATATTGATGTGTGATCGATTTGTCAAATGCAGAAAAACCACTCACCCGACTCAAATATGCCAAGACAAAGCCAACAAAACTACTGGTTGTACCACATATTGATTTGTCCGAGGATGGTGACATAAATACTGCCAGGAATTGCAGACTCCTGTTCCAAGGAAATCCACTTCAGAGAAGTCAGGATGGCACTTGCAGACATTCTTCACAAGGGATTTGACTTATACATGGCATTGTTATTGCATAATCAACTTGTTTTTCTTCAAATGCCTCAACAATACTTTATAGAAAGCAACTATTCGAAAAGCAATCATACAAAAATGAATTTAACTACCAGCATTTTTGTTGTATTTTGAAGTGGAGGTTATTTTTTATTCTAGGCATGTGCAAATTTCTATAAATAGCTGATAAAGTAAGTATAATATATTTGATTATATATTGATTTATGATTTTGACTGACATTTTTACCCAGCATTTGACAAATACTACAAATGCACAATACACTTTATTTATTACCCATAGGGTTAGAAATAACCGAGTTCATTAAGATCATATGTGCACTTGTGCAAGTTTTGTTTTCATCATCTGGAGGGCATTGTTGATGTCATTCACATCTTTGGTGGTCGTGATCAGTGCATTTTTCTAAAGGGGATTTCAAAAGGATTAAGATATAATGGGTACTAAAGAAATTATTACATTCACATGTGTGTCTGATTTCAGGAAATAATTCTGACACTTGATTCGTAAAATCAGTATGATACCTCTCTCTCCCTCTCTCTCACACACACACTGAATAAATGAATAAAGTTAAGTAAATGATTGCATAATTTCTCTCTCTC